AAGTGGGAGGGGAGCTGTTGCATTGTAAATTTTGGTCAATGACATGAGACAAAGTATATGTGAACTGCTGTATGAAAAGTGAATTTACTCTGTAAATCTTTGCCCAAATCAAAATAAAATTTAAAATAAAATAAAGCATAACCATGCTATCCACAAGGGTCAGAAAAAGTCATGTCAATAAATTAGAGAATTAAAAGAATAAAATGTCATATCCTGAAGAATATTTTACATTACTAGTCAATTCTAATTGAACTTTCTGTTCTCTTTATAATTAAAAAAACAAAAAAACAGGCACCACATAAGAGGAAGTGATCCTTGGGACATACTTGTTCTAAATGTTAACAAAGAAAGCAAAGGCAAATTACACTTTTCTTTTTCCTTGTTAGTACTAAGACCTTTGCTCCTCTCTTATTAAGGTAAGAGTCTGCAGCCACTTACTTCCAAGCAGGCAACTTGGCAGAGATGGAGGAAGAGAAGTGCTGTTTATTATCTGTATTATATATGGGATGGTGTGGGGTGGAAGTTCCAAGTTCCCGACTAATCCTGATGTACTCTGGACTTCAGGATTTCCCCAAATCCTAAGAAAATCCAGCCACTCTGGCATCCATCCCTTTTCCACATCACCCACTTTCCCAACCTAGTTTCTAAGGCATCCACCTCCACCTCTGTCCATCCTCACCTCTTCAAAAGAGGTGTCAGATATTTACTCATAGAAAAAGGGCACCAATGTTAATGTGCACCTTTCTCATTGGGCATTTTCTTACAAATTCATTTTCCAGATTTGCCCTCAAAATCTAAAATAATCCACAAGAAGTATGCACTACTCGATGTATGTGATGAAAAACTGTACAAGACAACTTTGTCATAAAACTAGTTTACAACACAAAAGCAGCATGTTTTTAAAAGCTTCTCGACAATAAAACAAGAAATCCTGAAATAATGCCTAACTTTAAGTTCACTTTCTATTTCTTTGGAAGAAAAAATAAACATTTATTAACAGTTCAAAGCTTACAAAAACATCCCAGTACACCTGAGATAATTTCCCCTGAAACATAACCATGCTATCTATGAGGGTCAGGAAAAAGTAATGCCAATAAATTAAAATGACTTAACTGCTTTGATTTCAGTTATGAAATGAGTTCGTGGCAGAGGTCAAGTACTTTGAAAGAAGTTGCAATTTAAGTATCCCCTCTCCAAAATTTTTTTCTTTCTTTTATTATAAATTAGAATAAAGAATTGAGACACAAATCAACATAAAAAATCCACCAAACAGCAAAATCCCTGCTGTCATGGTAGAGCTTCCCTCTGGAAAGGGGTACAACAAACAAGAAGACAAATGAATAAACAAAGACACATTCAGGTATTGTTAAATGCTTTGAAGAAGATAAAGCTTGGGGATGTGGCAGAGAATGTGGGGGTGGAAAAGGCCCATTTTTAGTGAGGGGGAGGGGAAAAGGGATGCCTCTCTGAGGAGGTGACATATGAACAAGAGGTCTGAATGCTGGGCATAGGGGCAGCCACACCAACAATGAGAGGCATGTCATCTACGGAGAAGGACTAGTAAGTGACCACTGAGGAGATCTGTGTGAGAAAACAGTGACTTAACAGAGTGAATGGCAGGAAGAGTGGTAAAAGATGGAGTCAGGCAGGAAAGCAAGGGTACTTCCTCTAGGGCTTGTAGGCTAAGGCAATTCAAAATGAATAAAATGTATTCTGATTCATGTGATGCCCAAAGATCATGCCACCTGGGGGAAATCAGAGACTCAGTAAACATTTGATGATCATTTCTAATGTGCAAACTACAATGAGTCAGAATTTTTCAAAGGGGATGCCATGGAAATCAGGAATTTAAAGAATGTTTTCGCCATGGGATTTCCAATAAGAATATATGATTACTGTCACTAACAAACTCCAAAATAACAATGACTTCATCTTCAACATTAAATTTATGCTTTCTTTATGCAATACTAGAGGGGCTTTTTTTTTTTTTTTTTAATAAAGTCATTCAGCTATGGAGCTTCGGTGTCACAGTAGTTAAGCACTTGGCTGCTAACCAAAAGGTTGGCAGTTCAAACCCACCAGCAGCTCTGTGGGAGAAAGATGTGGCAGTCTGCTTCCGTAAAGATTACAGCCTTGGAAACCCTATGAGACAGTTCCACTCTGCCCTGTGGGGTCACTATGAGTCCGAATAGACTTGACGGCAAGGGGTGATGGTGGTGTCATTAAACTTATTCTGTGATAACCCTCAAAAGCTGTTTTTTGACAGTTCTCAGCTAAACATGACTCCTGATCACGTGCGGAGAGAGGATTTGTGAAGTATTTTGGTGTAAAACAGACATAATAGTTTTCAGCCCTATAACATAATTATGCATGTGCATATGCTCAGTAATCTACAAACATCCAACACAACATACAATGTATTCTAGTTGTCATAATTACTTCATTTGGTATGAAGAGAACAAAGGAAAGAAAACCAAGATTTCCAAACCAAAACAAACTCACTGCCATTGAGTGGATTCCGACTCATAGCAACCTCCATTAGGTTTCCAAGGCAGTATGTCTTTATAGAAGGATGATTGCCCAGTCTTCCTTCTGCTGAGTGGCTGGTGGGTTTGAACCACCAACCTCTGGTTAGCAGTCAAATGCCTTAGGCACTGCATCACCAGAACTCCTTCTGCTGAAGAAAAGAGGTACCAAAATTTAGAAACTGTTAAAAAAAAAAGAAAAAAGTCTGACGAGAGTATCTTTTGACTGGTGTAAATTATGAATGTATAGCAATGTAGCCGGTAAGTTAAATGGGACTTTAGATGTTACTCATACATGTAATGTGGGCATACAATATGGCATAAGAAGGGTCCAGAAGCAGTCTACCTTCTATTGCAGAAATCTAGTCCACTCGTCTCAAACAAAATTAATTACTCAATCTGAACAGTGTGAAAATAGATTTCTGCTCCTCCAATAGGCACCAAATGGCATAACTCATCAAAATGCTGGTCCAAAAACACTTTTGGGAAAGCAGTTTTCAATCTGTTTGCAACTTTTGAGCTCTTTACTATGCTACTGCCTCCAATCCAAACATCCCTTAAAGTATTCCTGCCTGTCAGCTAGCTTCGAAAAGGAACTTATAAAATGGCAGTGAAATTCACGGGGGGCAAGGGGGGGGGGCTCTTGTATAATCGTTTTATTCAAACCCACACAAGTGTTCACTCTGTTCTTGTTTATTTTGTCTTTAATTCCCAGAATTATTCAATCAATACCATTTTTGGATGGAAGGCTTCTCCAGTTTCCCCATCAACACTTTACATGCTTGCATAGAAAAAAATTTTTTTTTCCCAAAAAAAATCTAAAACACATATCCAACAGAATTGTCTATTTTTGTCAAGAGTCATGTTGGAAATGACTAATGTGTCATTTTTCAGGTATTACATGCACAACAGTAGAGTAGATTTTAAAAACATACGATTTATGTGGAATCCAAGTTTCTCCTGTCCATGTCTCTCTTCGATCCAGAGTTTATTTGGCTGGACTGTTTTCCCGTTTCAGCAGCTTGAACACCAGCCAAAAGGACAAACAACGCCAAGAGACAGTTTCTCTCCACCCCACCCCCGCAGCGCACAGCTGGGGAAATCTCCACTGCCAACTTCCCAGCTTCTCATTTCAGCCCTAAATGGCCCTGAAACTGCCGGTCGTAGGATTCTAAGTTCTTCGGTTCTCGGGTCAATTACTCCTCCCCAGCGTTTTTCAGGCCCTCCCCGCCAAGTGGGGTCTGTATTGAGGATGAGGACACCACCGAGAAGAGAGTGTCCCTCCGGATCCCTAGTGACCTCCTTTCCTCCGGGGCACGCTCCTGGAGCCCACGGAACTGCAGGGGTGGGGCGAAGAGGAGGAAGGGTAAAGTAAAGATGATCGGACACCAAGGCCCACAGGGGCGTGTGGAGCGGGCGTGCAGGTAAGGGCGCGATGTCTGGCCCCGGACGAAGCCCCTCCTGGGCAGCCCCCAAACAAGGTGGGAGTGGAGAGTATCCACAGGCCGCTCAGGCCGAAGAGGGGGTGCAGCAGGGGACAGCTTACCCGCGGCGGCGGTGGGAGCGAGGCCCAGCAATGGCAGCAGGAGGGCAGAAAGCGCCGGCAGCGCGGCCCCAGGCATGACGGCGGGTGTGCGCTTTGAGCGCCTGCGGGGCGGGTGCAAGGGCCGGGCGGCAGTGGCAGGGGCGGTGCTTCTCGGAAGTGCGGAGCTTGCGTCCGGACCCCTCCCACCAAGGAGGTCCCTGGCGGAAAGAGCCAGGACAGCAGGGGATTCAACCCAGCGATGACCCCGCCTGCCTAGGTCCAGTGGATGGGGCTGGCTCGCTGCCTTCTGGAACTTGTCTCTGTTAAAATTTTTCCCCCCTTACTTTTCATTTTAGACGTTCAAGAATGTTGCAAAAATAGTAGGAAGAATGTCCATATCCCTTAGCCAATTTCCTGAAATACTAACATCTTATATAACCACAGTACGGTGATCAAAACCAGGAAATTAACATTGGTATCATACTAACAATTCTAATTCTCAGATCTTATCACAGTTTGCCAATTGTCCCTCTTATATCCTTTTTCTGTTCCAGGATATAATCCAGGATCATACATTGCTTTGAGATGTCATGTCTCCCTGTTGTTATTTGCCATCGAGTCAGCCCCAACTCCTAGTGACCCCTCCTTGGGTTTCCGAGGCAGTTAATCACTACGGAAGTAGGATTGCCCAACCTTCCTTCCGAGTAGTGGCTGGTGGGTTTGAACCACCAGCCTCCTGGTTAACAGTCAAGTGCCTTAGTCTCCCTTAATCTGTGACAGTTTCTCTGTCACTCGTTCTCTTCCATGATCTTGACACCTCAGAAGAGTACTGGCCAGTCCTTTTTTCGAATGTCTTTTGGTATTTGTCTGTCTGATAATGTCTCAGGACTGGATTCAAGTTATGCCTTTTTGGCAGATACGCCACCGAATTGATGTGCCTTTCTCAGGAGGAATACCAGGTCAATATGTCTCATTAGCAGTGATGTTAACTTTGTTCGTTAGGTTAAGTTGATGTCTGCCAGATTTCTCCCTTGGATCTAATGACCAGAGACCTCCTTTTCAAAGGCTCCTCCAAATAGGCTAGTTCTCTCATATAATGTTGGTGTGTCACTGGCTCCAGGATAAAAGATGTTTAAAATATGCATGCCTTCCAACTACTTAACTTGACCAGCCAGGACCCAATACAATCCACAAGCCAGGGCCTAGCAAGGCTCCTTGTTTAAGCCTTGACACAGCTTCATATTATTGACAAAAGAGTCCTTTAAAATTGTGTTTAATCAATATAACCTGGAGTTTGTTCTTTGAAAAGATCAATAAAACTGACAAACCTTTAGACAGACTGACAAAGACAAGACAACAAAAAATGCAAATAACCAAAATAAAAAATGAAAGAAGGGACATTACAACTGATCCGATAGAAATAAAGAACATTCTCATTTCTGTGGCTCAACTTGCAGCCAAACATAGACACGTCTATGAGGTGAACAGTAACACCAGGGAGATGCACACTCCTTAGAACAATCAACCATTCTAGATCAAAACGGCAGCATTTGCCCAAGGACAGAGTTCAGAAGGCAGAAAGGGATAGGAAAGAAAGAGGAATGGAAATGAGAAACAGGGAGGAAGTGGGATGAGCAATGTTACATTGTACTGAAATTGCAATCAATGCCATGAAACAAAATGTATATGAATTGTTGAGTGGAAAACTGATTTGCTCTTTAAACCTTTGTCCAAATAATACTGAGAAGTTAAAAAGTAAAGAGACAAAGAGTATTATGAACAATTATATGTCAATAAATTGGATAACTTAGATGAAATGGACAAATTCTTAGAAGAACACAACCTCCCAAACCAAGTCAATAGGAAACAGAAAGTACCAACAGACCCATGGCAAGCAAAGAGATCAAATCTGTGATCAAAAACTCTGAACAGTAAGAAAAAGTCTTGGACCAGATCACTTCACTAGAGAATTCTACCAAACATTTAGAGAAGAATTGACACCAATACTGTTTAAACTCTTTCAAAAGACAGAGAAGGAAGGAATACTCCCTAATTCATTCTATGACACAAATACATAAGTGATACCAAAACTAAGAAAAGACACCACAAGAAAAGTAAACTACAGGCCAATATCTTTTAGGAGTATAGATGCAAAAATCCTCAACAAAATTTCAGCAAACATAAGCCAATAGCGTATTAAAAGAGTCACACACCATGACCAAATAGGATTTATCCCAGGAATGCAGGAACAGGAGAAAAGCAATCAATGTACTGCATCACATCAATAAAGGAAAAGAACCAAAGGCTCATCTGTATGGATGAATATAAAGCATTTGATAAAATCCAACACCCTTTCTTGATGAAAACACTAAAAAAGATTGGAACACAAGAGAAATTCCTCAATCTGATTCAGGCCATACATGAAAAAGCCAACATTATACTTAATAGAGAAAGACTGAGAGCTTTTTCCTTGAAATTGGAAACAAGATAAGGGTGACTGCACTCACTCAACACTTCTATTCAGTGTTGTATTACAAATCCTAGCCAAAGCTATAAGGCAAGAAAAATAAAAACAACAATCCAGAATGGAAAAGAAGTAAAATTATCTCTATTCACATATATGATCCTCTATGTAGAAAATCCCAAAGATTCCATGAGAAAACTTCTAGAGCTAATAGAGGAATTTAGGAAAGTTTCAGGGTAAAAAGTCCCCAGACAAATATCAGTTGTGTTTCTATACACCAGCACTGAGAAATCTGGAAGGGAAATTAGGGAAACTATTCTATTTACGATAGCATCTAAGGGAATAAAATAACCAGGAATAAATCTAACTGGGGATGTGAAGGACATATACAATAAAAACTGTAAAACACTGCCAAAAGAGAATAAAGAAGACTTAAATAAATAGAAGGAGCTCTGGTGGCATTTGACTGCTAACCAGAAGGCTGGTGGTTCAAACCCACCAGCCACTCCTCAGAAGGAAGATTGGGCAATCTACTTCTGTAGTGATACTGCATTGGAAACCGAAGGAAGGGTCGCTCTGAGTCAGATTCGACTCGACGGCAGTGAGTTTGGTTTTGGTTTGGTTTAAATAAATAGAAAGATGTCCCATATTCATGGATTGAAAGACTATAGATTCAAAATAATCCCAATCAAAGTTCCCACAGCCAATCCTCAACTTTATACAGAATGGCAAGAGAGCCTGAATAGCTAAAACAATGTTGAAGGAGAAAAACTCATATGTCCTACTTTTAAAACATACTGTACAGCTACAATAACAACAAAAAGAGTCGTTGGTGACACTGCTTATATACAACCACACCCCTCATGGGATTTGACTGCTTGGTTTGGAGGTTTAGGGTCATGGTTTCATGGGACATCCCAGTTAATTGGCCCAATAATATGTTCATTGCTTTTGTTCTACATCCTAGTTCATTGTGTCATGTGCCCAAGGTCTTAAAAACTTACAAGGTCTTTATTCACCTGGAACAACAGAGAAAGAAGGAGAGTCAAGAATAGGAGGAATACTCTTGGAATGGAATGTGTGGCTCATTGCCTTCATGAACAACTGCCTCCTTTGCTATGAGACCAGAAGAACTAGATAGTGCATGGCTATCTTACTGAACATTTTGATCAAAGATTCCATAGAAGAATCTTGATCAAAAGGGGGAAATGTATAATAGAATTTCAGATTTTCATTGACTCCAGACTTTCTGGAGCCACAGAGGGTGGCTGAATTCCTGAAACTATTGCCCTGAGAAAAATCTTTTAACCTGAGACCAAAAGTATATCCTAAAGTCTTTATTTGTCCCCTATACCTAATCATTAGGTATGTTTACTTGCTTTTTTAGGTGCCTGGTATTGGGAGATCAATATTGTCAGACTAAGTATAGGGTTGAGAATTAGGAAGAACTGTCTTTAGTTCTTCTGAGACATCTGGAATAGGGGGAAAAGGGTAAGGGAAGAAAATACAAGCAGTTCTGGACATGTAGGAAAGAACTTTGACATGTAGCTTGTCCAGTGTGCTGTTGGAAATAAGAAGCTGGAACTATCTATCTGAACTATTGGCTTAGAAATAGTGTTGAGTGCTTGAACAGTAGACAGGATCTCCTCAGGGGAATACAAAGAATGAGAAATTTGGAAAGTGGAACACAGATGGAATCACTGCTGATCCTGATAGTTAAAAATACACCAAACAAGCCCAGTTGCCATCCAGTCAATTCCAATTCGTAGCAACCCTGTAGGACAGAGTAGAACTGCACCATAGGGTTTCCAATATTGTAAACCTTTGCAGAAGCAGACTGCCACATCTTTCTCCCACAGAGTTACTGGTGGGTTCAAACTGCTGACTTTTCAGTTAGCAACTGAGCACTTAACCATTGTGCCACTAGGCTCCTTTACCAATTAAGAGGAATCTGAAAAGGAAACTAAAATCAAACATTTGGAGTTGTAGGAGTGATTATATTTATTCTTTAAAACATGAAAACAAAACCTCTTAAAATTTGCAGATGAGGCAGTCTGCTTCTGTGAAGATTTACAGCCTTGGAAACCCAATAGGGGTCACTATAAGTTAGAACTGACTCAATGGGAATGAGTTTTGTTTGTTTTTTTACAATAGCTGGACAGTGTCTTTCTGCTCATACTATATACCTGACATAAAAAAGCCCAAAGCAGAATTATTTTTCCCCCAAAAAGGATCAACACCAACACTAAAACGATAAAAGATAAAAGAAAACAACTTTATTATGGCATCACCACTATATATAGCTGTACTTTTTTTTTTACAATGCAGTTTACGTCTTTGAATAAAATCTTACCTATTACATTATAGGGAAAGAAAACTAGTCAGATAAGTTTAATAAAAATTATTTCAGGACAACTGAAGAGTATTTAAAACCATCTTAGAAAATTATTCAAAACTTTATTAAAGTAAAAGCACTCTAAACTTTAAATAAACCCATGGATTTTATTTAAAAAATATTTATATCCAAGACTACAAATATAAGTTAAACACTGAGTGAAACACTCACCATGTCCAGTCCAAGCTATTATTAAGAATATATTCTAAGTGGTAAAATTTAAAGCAATAACTACAAAGAAG